TCACCTTTGGCGTGAAGACGTTGAGAAAGAGACAGTCGTCCTCTCCTGACAGTAAACTCGTCAAGTCGCTCCTCTGAGTGCACGTGTACCCTTCCAAAGTCGCATCACGAGTTCCTGCCGTGGTTACGGCGCTTGAGGCGCCTGCAGCGAGCAAATTTCAAATTAAAACTGAATAAAAATTATTTGCCATCACGGACATTGCTTCGAGTGGCAGAGAAACGGAGCAGAACTTTCAGCGAACGCTTCTTTAAATTTTTCATGCTGTTGGACATCTTCATTACCAGGAATAATAAATCAGCATAAAATTTAGTGATGTGTTTGCATATGTGAATAGTTGTGGCTGGTAAACAATTTCAGGTTGTTAGACTCGAAATAGAAAATTTTTACGCATAAGAAAAGCTCGTGCAAAATTCGCGTTTACACTTCTAACGTGCCTAGGGAATTAAATAATCTCATTCCTACAATCTATTCGATGTAGGTCCGAGACCGGTTGTCCTGACTGAAATTTTTCGTGGTTTTCTTTATTTCTTTAAGATACTTTCTGCGACAGTACCGGAAACTAGGCCGTAGTCCTTTCTTTCAACATATTTCACAATTTATTATTTATTACTCGTCCCATCATTAGACGTAATGCACTTTAAATTACAAACATCGTCGATAAACAAGCAGTTAATACAACAATCGAAGTTAAGACCGTAAGTGACAGAGTCGCAACGGCGTAACATTGTCTAGTTTTATGATGATCTATTGGGGTTTGGTACCGTAGGGGCTGAAGATACGACTTTTAAGATTACCGCGTGTGTATTAGTCTTCTGCATTTCATGCGACACCTATTTCCCAATTAATAACCTCGTTCGAATTCATGAAATTGTTATTAAAAGAGTATCAGAAATAAGAGCGTACTTTCGCTTAATAAAAGTCTGTATTTGAATTCTATCCTGCTTAAAGTAACTTGCCAGTGGTCATCTGAACCCGTACAAATTGAATCCCCATCCTCACACTATTTGGGTCAATTTACATAATTTACCGCTAGTACATTTCCCGTTTTGACCGGCTTTAACAAGTCTATTCAAAGTTTTGTAAAAAAGCAAGACGTCAATATTTATCGCTCAATTCATCTCCCACGCAATATTAGCTATTTTATGTATGATGTGACATTTTAGGTTCTAAGGTTTTTTCGTAATTTTGGTGGCACTTTTCCTCTGGAAACCGCGATATTTTGTGAATACGACTAACCGAAAAATTATGTATTTTTCACAAAACACAGACCGCAATGTAAAACTTACATTGTTACTTATCATCTTCCCATTGCTTTGAACTTGAGGTCACCGACACGAGTTTTGGCGTACGGAATTCCAAGAAACGCCACGTACTTTTTCTTGTTTTGGATAATGCTAAAACTTTTCCTTTCAGCAAACATTGTTGCACTCTAACTATTAGTCTTCTTGAAGTCTGCTCCGCCGAGGCGAGGCTGCTACACATGCAGATTATTACCAGTGACAACGCGGAGATCCGTCGGCCCGTCATGTCTCCACGTCTGTGCGCTGGAACCCAGAGATCCAGATCCATTTTAAGTTACTGAATTATTTATCAGCAGCATAAAATGTTACACTGGTTACAATTATTCAGTTTAATTTAAAAACTTTGGAACACTTTCTTGTGTCATTGAATCTAGAGGACTCTACTTCTGTAATGTTGGCTACCGGAGGAATCCTGTAGACACCTTCGTCCTTAAGGGAGGATAGCAGCTGGTTGTATTTATGTTATGTTATTGGTAACGCCCGATTGTCTGATTTTATTTGTGCTGTCACGAATACTAAACAATTTGAGGTAGAATTGCGTTGAACCGTTTTCTACAGCACGAGGTTGTTGTACTTCAAATACCTTCTGCACCTATGGTAAATATTTCAACTTATACAGCAATACGAAGAAATCTCGCGAATTAATTTCGTAACTCTTTTAATCCGAAGATGGTCTAAAAGAATTTAAGAACTCCTAATAATCACTGCTTACAGTGCAACCCATAAACACAGAATGTAGCGTTAAAAGTTGCCAAAGCTGATGGTACATGCACGGACTACCACTCTGTTCGAAGTGTCGTGAAAACTATGAAGTTTTCCTAGAGTTCAGAGCGTAACAGTAGCCACAGTCGCTTGTTGCTTTTCAGATTTAAACGGTGATGAACCAATTGACAAGTATTAAATCTTCATATTAAC